TACCTCCCTATATCCGGGTTGTGATGATTTTAGCGATTTTATTAACCGGAATTGTTTAAAATTTCGTATTTGCAGTTCATAACGGGTATTACAACCTGTCACAGAGAATTGGTTATACAGGTCCACTGTCTCGTATAGCCCCCATATAATGGTAGCTCCCTATATTCGGGATTTTGACGATTTTAGCGACTTTATTAACTTTTCGTATTTGCAGTTCATAACGGGTATTACAGACTGTGAGAGAAAATTGACTATTCAGGTCTAAGTTCTCGTATAGCCCTCATATAACGTTACCTCCCTATATTCGGTATTTTGATATTTTTGCGAGATTATCTACCGGAATTTTTTGTATTTGAATATTGTAATCGCCTATGACAAATGCAGGTCCCCGTCTTCGTATAGATCCCAATATAAGGGTAACTCCCTATGTTGGATATTTTTATGATTTTAACAGTATTTTTTAACGTTTTTCTTTTTTTTTTTTTTGAAAATTTCCATTTTTTTCCCAAATGGTGGAGGGTATTCAAAGCTCGGCACGGCCGACTGCTGCTTTTATACTAGTTGATAATTGTTCTATAAACGATCCATCAAGCAAACTTTTATTCAAGATTTTCCACATTCTAAAAGCTTACTTTTATTCTTAATTGAAAATAGTAATTAAATCTTTAAGCATTGGGCGCCATTTTTTGACTTTATTTGCATTATTTTGAACTCTTTATAGGATCTACGCTAGATATAAATATTTTGTTAGCCTTATACGGATCAGAAAATCCTGTGCTTTAAGGCAAGTGACCTGAAAGGTGGCATAATATAATTAGCCAACATAAGTTAGCCATCTTTACTTCATATCTTCAAAGAATCAACTGGGCGCCATCTTGTCTACATTTAGATATTCCATTAAATGTGGTTTTTGAGCTTTGTATGCTCCACTTAAGAAGATCTTCCAATCGCCTTGCTTGTGTTATGTGGCCCAGGGAAGGACAATGTAAATATGTCGTAAATGAAATCCCATAGTTAAAGGTAACTGTCAATGGGTATGTTCAGTCAACGAAAATAAAATGTACTTTAAGAGATCCATATGCTTTACTTCAGAGGACCTTCGAATTGTCTTGCCTAGGAAATAAAACCCGGGGAATTTTCAAGGTGACTGGTCGTTCAGTCTAAGAAAAAATGTCCTTAGCTTTATGCGTAAAAATAATCACAAAAAAAGCAATATGAAATGAGTCATTAATTAAACATTGGGCGCCAACTTGCTTCTATAAAAATAAGTTAAAGTAAAATCATACAAGAGGTATCCAGAGCACTAAGCCTTGTTTGTAGTGTACGATATCTGAAATCCTATATTTAATGGTAACTGGCTAACTGACCACCTACTTTTAACTGTTTTGATGGGGTCGTTCAGTCAAAGTTGTTTTTCATTTCATCTACTTATCTTTAGTTAAAAATTATAAGATTATTTTAACTCAATATCTAAAAGAAATTAAGAGATCGTGTGCCATATTGTCGATATTCATTAATTGTATATTATCTAACCTGTCTAGATTTCAAAGTTTATATTTCCACATCGGGCGCCATTTCGTTCTCCGTTTCTCAATTGGAAACACTTTAACAATTTTGTACCTTTCCTATTAAGAGATCTCTTAGTCGCCTTCGTTATGAAATCTGACCAAGGCATCAAATCTTCTTCGAAGTGAGTGACCTTAAAATTCACAGAACATACTTTAACAATATAATTTGAAATTTGCAATACCACAAAATCTTCAGCATTCGCTTACATATGTTCCCTACATCTCCGTCTGCAGCTTCCTTGGAAAAACCACTTTAATAACACACATCAATCGGTTGGTGAAATGGTAAGCAACATTTAAGAAATGGTTCATGCCATATGAGAAGACCCCATGGTCATGGAAACCACAAATGCCGTTAATATCTTTGTGGTTAGCAGAATCAACATACAGCCGACAAAAAAATAAGTGTTGCTGCCACTAAACAAACTCTTACAATTTAAACACTTTTTCTTCACGATCATCATCATCTCCTTCATCATCATTGTTTTTGTTATTTTGCATATTCGAAGTTCACCACTTGAGGTATTTGTTTTAGATGACGGCACGCATGACGACGCTCATGCCATGTCATGATGCCAGCTTGCATTTGTAAAACGTATGCCTGGCAAGTCAATGAATAAAAACAGGTTCAGATAGATGGCTATAAAGGATCGTGTCTCTCTCGTCTCTTGTCTGCTACGCACAACACAAACAAAAGAGCGAAGAAACCAGTATTGAACAAATAAAAGCGAGTTAATTAATATTTAAATAGAAAATCGCCTTCGAGTCAAAATAAATCTAAAGAAAACACCGAAGAAAATTATATAACATCAAGGCAAAAGCAAAAAAAAAAGAAAACTCCATGAAATATTATGCCAACGATATCTCAACAAGTTGGATACTTAATAAGTGGTTCAAATCGAGCATGCAAGACATTCATATGGCCATAAATCTAATGACAGATATCATTGAAACTAGTTGCGCCAGCTTCATGGCTGGAAGTGCAACTTAAATGCACAAACACCAATTATATCTAGCAATTACAACCGAATTTGTTGTAATTGCTAGATATAATTGGTGTTTGTAATCCTTGATGAAATCTTAGCGGAATCGTGAACACTGAGGATTGTTAACATTGAACTAGTTTACGTGGGCACACCACGTTAATGATTGGCACCTTGTCAAGTAATGTAAAAATATGGTATCAGTTTTCCAGGAACACTTGACTTGTTGTCATAGGCATTCCAGTGTGCTCGCCAGGTGTGGAAATAGAAATCATAAATGTTAATATTAACAGCTTTGTACCTCTATTTTTATAATTGCAGTATTATCCATATGTTTCAAAGTGATGTCGGAATTATATTTTAGAGCATTTGTGTGGTTTTTTATGAAGTACCAAATTAAAGAACCCAAAATGCTGTTATGGAAGTATGTACTTTGGCCTAAAGATGTTGATGTCTTAAAATCGCGTTATCAAGTCTAATGTGTAATGCCTTGTCCTCTATCAAGTCTCACATGTAATGCTTTGTCCTCTGTTTAAAGGCCCACCCGCGCATTTGTACTCAGATCCAACACTTGTGGCTTCACAAACATTTTTTATCTTTCAAAATTTCAAGAAATGAACTTCCGTTTACAAGTCTGGTAAAACAACAACCAATTTTATACAAATGTTATATTTGTTGTTAGTAATTCGAATCGAATCTTCAGCAATTCATTTTGACCATTAAAATGCTTTAATATATAACCGAAAATGGTTTTCCACGATTAAACATGCTTCTCTAAATAATATGTACTGATTGAACATACACTACATACAAAAACATGTCATTTACCGTTAAAATAGCTTAATATAGTTTACGTTCGTTGCCAGTGATTGAACATGCTTCCAAACAAATTGCAATGATTGAACATGCCACTGATTAAACATACCTTATATGTGACTCTGAAAGACTAAACACACACCCCATCAGTTATACTCGGTTAAAATAAGTATGTAATATTTGTTGTTAGTAATTCAAACAGAATCTTCAATAATTCATTCTGACATTTAAAATGCTTAATTATATATATACGGAAAATGGTTTTCCACAATTAAACATGCTTCTCTAAATAATATGTACTGATTGAGCATACTCTACAATAAAAAAACATGTCATTTTGACCGTTAAAATACTTTAATATAGTTTACGATTGTTTCCAGTGATTGAACATGCTATCCAACAAAAAGCAATGAGTGAACATACCTTATAAATGGCTCTTAAAAACTAAACACACACTTCATCAGTTATCATTGATTTAAATAGGTATCACATTTATCCCGTTACTTGAAAAAGATACCTATTTTAATACCCTCCACTATACATACTATGGAGGGTATATTCATCATTATGTTTGTAACTCATCGAAAATATAAATTTAGACCTAACAAAGTATGTATATTCGCGATCAGCGTAAATTTCAAGGGCGATTTTGCCCTGTCCGGCTGTTGTAATCATGCTAGAGTCAAAACGATCTAATATAGGAAGCTAAAATTTTGCACATATCAGCCTTTTGTCTTTAGGCAGGTCAAGTTCGAAGGTGGGCTATATCAGCTCCCATATGATGGAAGCCCTAATATTCGATACTTTGATGATTTTAGCAGATTTTTCAATGGAATTGTCTGAAATCGGAATGGAATGGAATTGTCGTATATCCCCCTGTAATGGTACCTCCAGATTTTCGGTATTTTAATGGTTTCTGCCACATTTTTAATGGAATTGTCAGGAGTCGCTGAAACAGAATTGTCTATATACGTCCACGATATTGTATAGCCTCCATATTACAGTACCCCCGATAGTCGGTATTTTGATGATTTTAGCGACATTTTTGATCGGACTTGATTAAAAATTCGTATTTCAAGTTTAAAGCTCGTAATGTGTTATACAACCTATGCCAGAAAATTATTTATTTTCATACAATTGGTATTTTTCGACGGTTTTTTTAAATTGTTCCTTCCTTCCTTCAACAACCTTCAAATGGTAGAGGGTATTAAAAAGTCGGCCCTGTCGAACTTAGCTGCTTTTTTACTTGTTTCTTTTAGCAATACAATCGCGTCATCAATTTAAATTCTAATGATTTGTAGTTAAATGCAAAATTCGTTTCTATTCTTTCCTTTATTAGTTATAAAATTTATGGCATCGTAGTGAATTAAAATTTTTTTCGTAATTCAAATTGAACTTTAATATTTCGTTTACCGTTAAAATGCTTTAATTTTGCACATTATTGTTTTCAGGCATAAACATGCTTCTATTATATTATGTATTGTACAAGCAGCGTCGATGTGACTACCTGTATTCTTTTATCATTGTGGAATCCATCAATCGATATTCCTTTTTCGATCTCGAGAGACCTAATATGCTTCTTGTGGAAAGGAGAAAAAATACATTTCTACTCTCTTGCTTAGCAGCTGTACCCGCTTTCGATCTTGAGAGCCCTACTATTCTTTGAGTTGGAAACGTTTCTTGGTAAATCTCATGAAAGACTCTTCTTGGCGGCCAGGAGGATCCACCGAGTATCCGAAAAAACAAGAAAGAAGGAAATTTCGACAGTTGGAGTACTACTAATTTCCGGAGTCACAGGCCAGATGCTGCATGCCATCCAGTCAATGAAGACTTTTTTATTGGAATTGGTTCCATGTCAGACTGAATAAAGAAAAGTTTGTGGAAACTTTATCATCAACTTGTCTCAACAGACTCAGTGCTTTATCATCCAACTGCTGTTGCGAAAAGGATACGTCAGCTGGGAAGACACATAAATAGAGAAGTGAGTAGAAATCCATTTTTAATGCTATTAGAGGAGCTATTTAACCTGTTTCCTTCTTTTCACTAATTAGGTACCTTTAAATTTCCACTTTTAAAACATATAACGAAGATAAAGGCCTCGTTCGAAATATAAAAAAATATTTTCAATTAAATTTACTTAAAATTGGACCATGTCTTCACATTCGGCAACAAAAATAGACCAAAAGGAATACTTGAAGCGGTATTTATCCGGCGATAAAGTCAAAAAGAAAAAAAAGAAGGATAAACATAAGAAAAGCAAGGAATCTGGCGCCGCAACAGTGAAAATTATCGATGATGACTTCGTCGAAACTGATGGCATCAAAATCGATGAGGAACTGCTGTTGACTGGTGAGGATGCTCCCCAAATTGTTGGAGAATACACGGAAGAGATACAGAGTGCTGTAAAGAATGTACCCAAATGGAAAAGTATTGTTATTAAAGATGAACCCGAGGATAATGATAGTGGTGGCGCAACTCGAGAGGAGGATTTGTGGGGCAAAAAGGCATCGGAAATTAAAATAAAGCAAGAAATTGAAATCAAGAAAGAAAAAAGGACTCCCGATAACTCGCCGATACGCAAAAAAGAAAAGAAGAAAAATTCAAAACGAAGTCCCAGTGATTCACCTCCTCCAGCGCGTAAGAAATATACTAGTCCCTCACCCGCACGGAGGAGAAAAGATTCTGATGAATCTCCACCCAGACGTAAAAGAAGTCCTTCACCTGCGAGGAAATCACGCTTTAACCAATCTCCTCCAAATGGCAGACGTTCCAGATCCAGAGATCAAAGCCCACCCAGAAATAGTAGGTCTTCAAAGAGAAATCAATCACCGCCAATGAGGAGATATGAAAAACAATCACCTCCCCGAAGAAGAAGAAATTCAGATCAGTCACCAGCTAGAAGAAATAACAGATCACCATCGCCACGTAACAGGGAAGATTCTGACCAATCACCTCCTAGAAAACGTGGGAATTCTCCAGCACGTCAACGAAGGGATTCAGATCAATCTCCGCAACGTAGACACAAAAATTCTGACCAATCGCCTCCAAGAAGAAGTAAAAGAACCCCTGATCAATCTCCTCCTAGGCGTAGAAAAGATTTAGACCACTCACCAGCAAGAAGGCGACGGAATTCCGATCAATCACCCCCAAGGAAGAGTAGACAAACACCAGATCAATCTCCTCCCAGACGTAGAAGAGACTCTGATCAATCACCGCCAAGAAAAGGTAAACGACAAACCCCAGACCAGTCGCCCAGACGAAGAAGAGATTCTGATCAATCTACTCCCAGAAAAGGTAGACGAAATTCTGATCAATCACCCCCTAGGAGAGGTCGAAAAGATTCTGATCAATCACCTGCCAGAAAAGGTCGCACAAGAAGTGACTCCGATCAGTCGCCGCCAAGGCGAAGAAGGGATTTGTCACCACCACAAAAAGCTTTCTACAAAAACAATAGGTCATCACCTGACCGGCGACGTAAAGACCGGGACACAACACCACCACGACACATTAAAAGAGAAAAACTCTCCGTCGAACCATCCTCACCACCGCCACAGAGAAAATCTCGTTGGGAGAAACAAGATAGTGATTCACCACCGCCCACACATAAACCAAAAGTCACAAAAACTTTAGACGGCAAAAAAGCGGGTCTACAAAATGCTCAAGCCCTAAAGGAAGAAACCCTTAAACGGCGCCAACAAGAGGATTTACTCTTCGACAAAATGTCTTCAGATGTCTCGGGTCGGGATGCTGAAATACGTGTACGCAAAACGGGGCGAGAAGGTCGACGAGCCCGAGAGGCACGTGAAGAAGATCCCGAAGAGCGGCGACTCAAAGAAGAAAATCAACAGAAACGCAAGGAACATTATGAACGTTTGGGCAAGGGTCTCAAACAAATTGAAGACTTTAAGAACCGGCAAGCTGAAATGGCCCACGAGGCAAGTAAACCTTTGGCACGTCATGCAAACGATGAAGATTTGGAACGTTACCTCAAGGAACAAGAACGTGCTGAAGATCCTATGCTGGAGTATATGCGGCAGAAGCGCAAAGAAAAGGAGAAAACTTCCAATGAACCCAAAAAACCGGTGTATGAAGGCCCCTTCCCAGAAAATCGTTTTGGTATACGTCCCGGTTATCGCTGGGATGGTGTCGATCGTTCCAATGGTTATGAAAAGAGATGGTTTGACAAACAAAATGAACGCAGAGCTCGGCAAGACGAAGCCTATCAATATAGTGTGGAAGATATGTAGATGCAAATGGATGGATTTGTTGTTGGTGTTTGTAAAGTAGTTACTATACAAAGTTGTATTTGTAAAATAAAAAAGAAAATATATGTTTTTATATATTTTATATTTTTGGGAAAAAAGTTTTCTTTTATTATAGGTGAATATGAAGAAAGATACTTTGACATAGACATTAAGCCCAAAGTAATAGATTTGCTAGGACATCTTGTTATAGACAAGATTTTCAATAGCAGATACTGTTAACGACAACACTATCTATTCAAAATCTTGTTGTCGATAACATAACTATTGTTGTTATCGACAATATTTTTAATATAAATTATATATAACATAAAAAATTTTGTTATCACTAACACTTTCTAAAAAATCTTTGTTATCGACAACATTTTTTACAGAAATAATTGTTATCGACAATATTTTGTAAAGAAATTATAGTTATAGGCAACATTTTCTATAGAAATTGTTGTCATCGACAATATTTTCTAAGGAAATTTCTATAGAAAATATTGTATAAATTATATACAATATTTTCTATAGAAATTATTGTTATCGACAATATTTTCTATAGCAACTATTGTTATCGACAATATTTTCTATAGCAATTATTGTTATCGACAATATTTTCTATAGCAATTATTGTTATCGACAATATTTTCTATAGCAATTATTGTTATCGACAATATTTTCTATTGCAATTATTGTTATCGACAATATTTTCTATAGCAATTATTGTTATCGACAATATTTTCTATAGAAATTATTGTTATCGACAATAGTTTCTATAGAAATTATTGTTATCGACAATAGTTTCTATAGAAATTATTGTTATCGACAATAGTTTCTATAGAAATTATTGTTATCGACAATAGTTTCTATAGAAATTATTGTTGTCGACAATATTTTCCATAGAAATTATTGTTGTCGACAATATTTTCAATAGAAATTATTGTTATCGACAATATTTTCTATAGAAATTATTGTTATCGACAATTATTTCTATAGAAATTATTGTCATCGACAACATTTTCTATAGAAATTATTGTCATCGACAACATTTTCTATAGAAATTATTGTCATCGACAACATTTTCTATAGAAATTGTTGTTATCGACAACATTTTCTATAGAAATTGTTGTTATCGACAACATTTTCTATAGAAATTGTTGTTATCGACAACATTTTCTATAGAAATTGTTGTTATCGACAACATTTTCTATAGAAATTGTTGTTATCGACAACATTTTCTATAGAAATTGTTGTTATCGACAATGTTTTCTATACAAATTGTTGTTATCGACAATGTTTTCTATACAAATTGTTGTTATCGACAACATTTTCTATAGAAATTGTTGTTATCGACAATGTTTTCTATAGAAATTGTTGTTATCGACAATATTTCCTATAGAATTTGTTGTTATCGACAATATTTCCTATAGAAACTATTGTTATCGACAATATTTCTGTAGAAATTATTGTTGTCGACAATATTTTCTATAGAAATTGTTGTTATCGACAAAATTTCCTGTAGAAATTATTGTTATCGACAATATTTTTAATAGAAATGAGTGTTATCGACAATATTTTTTATAGAAATAGTTGTTATCGAAAACATTTCCTATAGAAATCGTTGTTTTCGGCAACATTTTGCACATATTTTCCATAGAATTTATTGTTATCGAACATATTTTCCATAGAAATTATTGTTATCGAACATATTTTCCATAGAAATTATTGTTGTCGACAATATTTTCAATAGAAATTATTGTTATCGACAATATTTTCTATAGAAATTATTGTTATCGACAATATTTTCTATAGAAATTAGTGTTATCGACAATATTTTCTATAGAAATTAGTGTTATCGACAATATTTTCTATAGAAATTGTTGTTATCGACAACATTTTCTATAGAATTTGTTGTTATCGACAACATTTTCTATAGAAATTGTTGTTATCGACAACATTTTCTATAGAAATTGTTGTTATCGACAACATTTTCTATAGAAATTGTTGTTATCGACAACATTTTCTATAGAAATTGTTATCGACAACATTTTCTATAGAAATTGTTGTTATCGACAACATTTTCTATAGAAATTGTTGTTATCGACAACATTTTCTATAGAAATTGTTGTTATCGACAATGTTTTCTATAGAAATTGTTGTTATCGACAATATTTCCTATAGAATTTGTTGTTATCGACAATATTTCCTATAGAAACTATTGTTATCGACAATATTTTCTGTAGAAATTATTGTTGTCGACAATATTTTCTATAGAAATTGTTGTTATCGACAACATTTCGTGTAGATATTATTGTTATCGACAATATTTTCTATAGAAACGATTATTATCGACAATATTTTTTATAGAAATGATTGTTATCGACAATATTTTTATAGAAATAGTTTTTATCGACAATATTTTCTATGGAAATCGTTGTTATCGACAACATTTTCTATAGAAATCGTTGTTATAGACAAAATTTTCTATAGAAATCGTTGTCGGCAACATTTTCTATAAAAATCGTTATCGACAACATTTTCTATAGAAATCGTTGTTATCGAAATTTTCTATAGAAATCGTTGTTATCGACATTTCCTATAGAAATTGTTGTTATCGACCACATTTCCTATATAATGTTTTGTTATCGGCACCATTTCCTATAGAAGTTGTGGTTGTCGACACCATTTTTTATAGAAATTGTTGTTGTCGACAACATTGCCAATAGAATTCCATCAAAAATTTCGGTATCGATAAGTCTCCATAAAAATATCGTTTTCTTGCTATAAAGTCCTGTTATCGATAGATTTTCTAACGAGAATATTGCTGTTAATGAGATTTTCTACATTTTTTATTTAAAAAAATAGAATGAAAACCACTTGTTATTTTATTGTTATTTCATTTGAAATTATATTTAAATTTTATTTGTTGTTCTTGTTTTACTTTAAATTACGCGCAAATATATATATTTACTTTTCTTTTATTTTAATTAATATTATATATATTTTTGCTTTTAAATTTTCATGTTCACGTTTTTGTTGTTGTTGTTTTTATAAATTTAAAATGTAAAAATATTAAATTTTTTATATAAAAAAATTATTAAGAGGCAAACTAAATAGAAGAAGTCTTTTTCAAAACGAAATTTTGAATGCAAAACAAAATAGATACTGACTGTCTGTATGTGGAGGAATGGAAGGGGGGAGAGAGAATAAAAACGGGGAATTCTCGGCGGCATTTAAGAAATAGTCGAAGAAGAAGAAAGAGAACAAATCTAGCTAAATTAAGATATAGTTAAGTTTTGTTTTGTTTTAGTAATTTTTACGTAATAATTTGAATTTTTGTTGTTCTTGTTAATTGATAAACGTTGGCCGGGGTCTTCTGTGATTTTGGCCAACGAGTTAGCTTAAAAATCTTTTTTTTTTTCATTTTTTTCTTCTTGAATATTTTTGATTCTTTTTCCTTCATTTCAAATGGACAATTTGCGTGTGTGTGTTTTCGTATGAATGCGAGTTGCAAACGAAGGGAGGAAAAAAGTGAAAATATTCCAAGGACTTGGCAAAGAAGAGAGCTAAAGGAAACAATAGAAAAACTCATGGCTAACATGGAATGAAGCTAATAATTAAGAAGTTCGTTTTTTGCTTTTTTGTTATTGTTGTTGTTCAATGATGTGGACATTTAAAAGCAAACACGATGGAAATTGCTGCTTTATTTCTTTCCAATAATTATAATACGAATAATAATAATAATTTCTTGTTTTTTGTTGTTGTTGTGTAATTGAACTGTTTTTTTCACTAATTAAATAACGCTTCTTAAAGAATAGAAATGGAAAAAAAGAATAGAATGGTACACAAAAAAGGTAAAGAAATCAAGAAGAAAGGAAGAAAACCATAACATGGGCTTTTAGCGTGTTCTTGAATAAAGGTGTAATAGTTGTTGTGGTTGTTGTTTTAGGATTGAGGGGCAGCTATAAGGCGGTCACTGACAGCATTGTTTGCGTACATCATTAGTAACAGTCGGCTTAATATCAATGGGTACATCATTGCCAGGACGAATAACATCACCCTCTGGTGGATCACGTATTTGCTTTGGGAAACAATACGGTAGATTTCTGCAAGGCAATAAAAAATTACATTAATCTCAAAACGAAAACCCAAAAACCAACACTTCTACTCACCTGTGAGTATATTCTGGAATGCAGTTTCAACATTAGTAGAATCTAACGCTGAAGTTTCAATGAAACTTAGGCCATTACGTTCGGCAAACAGTTTAGCCTCATCCGTTGGTACTGACCGCAAATGTCTCAAATCGGACTTGTTACCCACCAACATAATGACAATATTCTGATCGGCATGATCGCGCAACTCCCGCAACCATCTCTCAACATTTTCATATGTCAAATGTTTTGCAATGTCGTAGACAAGCAAAGCACCAACAGCTCCACGATAATAGGCTGATGTAATAGCACGATAACGCTCCTGGCCAGCTGTGTCCCAGATCTGGGCTTTAATTGTTTTACCATCAACCTAAGAGCAGCAAAGAGTTTGAGAGAAGCACCGGAAAAAAAGGATAAAAAGAAAGGAGAAAAAAACGCTAAAATTAGTAATGGTTTTTGAAGGTGTTGCCATGTTAAGGAATAGTAAATATGTAATATGACATACACATGTACATATTTACTATTCGCACACATGGTGGGGGTATTTATTGTCCGTTGTCATACACACAAACTTTAAAGCTTTTATGAAAATTAAAAGGAAATAAAGTCGAGGAAATAAAGGTCGATGGTGTCATTTGCCACAATAGAACACACAGCTACAGGCAAATGTTTACACTGGGAAACAAGAGTAAAAACATGTGTCGATAACTAAATTTTCGGTAGTAATTGGTTCCGATACATACAGAAAATATTGTCGATAACAGATATTTCTCTTGAAAATATCAGCGATAACAGCAATTTCTATAGAAAATACTGTCGATAATAACAATTTATAAAGAAAAAGATGTCGATAAAAATTCTTGTCAATAACAACAATTTTTGTTAAAAATATTGTCGATAACAATAATTTCTATGGAAAATATTGTCGATAACAATAATTTTTATTAAAAATATTGTCGATAATAATAATTTCTATAGAAAATATTGTCGATAACAATGATTTCTATAAAAATATTGTCGATAATAATATTTGCTGCAGAAAATACTGTCGATAACAATAATTTCTATAGAAAATATTGTCGATAACAATAATTTCTATAGAAAATATTGTCGATAACAATAATTTCTATAGAAAATGTTGTCGATAACAATAATTTCCATAGAAAATATTGTCGATAACAATAATTTCTATAGAAAATGTTGTCGATAACAATAATTTCCATAGAAAATATTGTCGATAACAATAATTTCTATAGCAAATATTGTCGATAACAATAATTTCTATAGAAATATTGTCGATAACAATAATTTCTATAGAAAATATTGTCGATAACAATAATTTCTATAGAAAATATTGCCGAAACAATAATTTCTATAGAAAATATTGCCGATAACAATAATTTCTATAGAAAATATTGTCGATAACAATAATTTCTATAGAAAATATTGTCGATAACAATAATTTCTATAGAAAATATTGTCGATAACAATAATTTCTATAGAAAATATTGTCGATAACAATAATTTCTATAGAAAATATTGTCGATAACAATAATTTCTATAGAAAATATTGTCGATAACAATAATTTCTATAGAAAATATTGTCGATAACAATAATTTCTATAGAAAATATTGTCGATAACAATAATTTCTATAGAAAATATTGTCGATAACAATAATTTCTATAGAAAATATTGTCGATAACAATAATTTCTATAGAAAATATTGTCGATAACAATAATTTCTATAGAAATATTGTCGATAACAATAATTTCTATAGAAAATATTGTCGATAATAATAATTTCTATAGAAAATATTGTCGATAACAATAATTTCTAAAGAAAATATTGTCGATAACAATAGTTTCTATAACAAATATTGTCGATAACAATAATTTCTATAGAAAATATTGCCGATAACAATAATTTCTATAGAAAATATTGTCAATAACAATAATTTCTATAGAAAATATTGTCGATAACAATAAATCCTATAGAAAACATTGTCGATAACAATGATTTCTATAGAAAACATTGTCGATAACAATAATTTCTATAGAAAACATTGTCGATAACAATAATTTCTATAGAAAACATTGTCGATAACAATAATTTCTATAGAAAATTGTGTCGATAACAATAATTTGTATAGAAAATATTGTCGATAACAATAATATGTATAGAAAATATTATCGACAACAATAATTTCTATTGTAAATATTGTCGATAACAATAATTTCTATAGAAAATAATATCGATTACAACAAATCGAAATTTTTTATAGAAAATCTCTTCGATAACAACAATTTCCGTAGAACAACATGACCTAATTCTGCTGAAAATGTTGTTATCGACATCAAATTGGCACAAATCCTTAGCAGAATTTCGTGTTTTTTCTCGTGTTTCACTGTGTATATATCCCACTACACATACACATGTAGTACCTCACTCTGTTGCCTAGCATTGGGCAAAGCCTTTATGTTGTCATTTTTCTCCTTTTATTTTTTGTTTGCTTTTCTAATATCCCTGACCTAAACAATTTTATTTAACCTTTGTTAGGAGTTTACGGGTATGAATGATTGGTGGGTAGGTGGTTGATGGGTGTTTTATTGAAACGGCCACGAAAAATAGCTACAATTTCGCTGTTACAATTCTTTTTTTTTTTTTTAAATTTACATTTCGATCCCTTTTCACAACGCGAATTTCGTTCGGTTGACAATGGCAAAAGAAAATCAATAAAATCTCCCTACAATGTACCTTCAGTAGATGAATGCAGCAACCCACTGACATTTTAACCGCACACCCCCACAAGTTATGTATGTTGTTTTCTTTCCCAAATAACCTTCTGCTTCTTGACAATGGAACACACCATTTGTTGTTGTTCCTTGCTCTTCTCATGCCTGGCTGTCTGCCTTTCAGCGCTCAATGCTGCTGCCATTGCCTTAATACTTTCTTTTGTTCACATGAACGTTTTATTTTGTTCAGTATTTTTTTCTTTCTGTTCACATCTTTTAGTTGTGAATAAATAGTATTCTTACTTACCTCTATGCTACGTGTGGCGAACTCCACGCCAATCGTTGATTTCGATTCCAAATTGAATTCATTGCGCGTGAAACGTGAAAGTAAATTACTTTTGCCGACACCAGAATCGCCAATTAGAACAACTGGAAATGAAAAAACAACAGATCAGATAAATACAAAATTTTTTCAAATAAATATACAAAATACAATACGAAATTGATAAATTAATGAATTGATGTTTCTAATATAAACAGAAAGATGAATATGGGCAAAATTTCAACAAGGTGATTATGGTTTATGTTTAGCCAGCCAGCAGTTTGGCAAGGTCAAAGAAAATGCGTATTGTTTTGGTAATATTTTTTTATTATTTGCCCCTTAAGAACCCCTTGGAAAAATTCTTTCCCAAATCAACGATTATCTAATTAATTGGGGACCCACGTGACCTTGACACCATTTAATGTGTATATTAGATGCAATTAAATACCTTCCCCACCAATGAAATCGAACATAAGAACATTAGAGTAAGTGGAGGAATTACAATAATTTTCCTCAAGGGAACTATTTTTAATTTACCATTGCCATTGGTAGGCCTTAAGATGCTTTCGAGGGTAGGACATTTTAATTGTACATTTATATGTAATGGGCCGAGGTGGTTTTTAATATAGCTTATATACACCGGCATAGTATGGGGAACTGAGTAATATTGAATTATAAATAGAAATTTCTATAAAAACTCATTTCGATAACAATTTATATAGAAAATTGTGTCGATAACAACAATTTTTATCAAAAAATTTGTCGATAACAATTATTTCTATAGAAAATGTTATCGATAACAACAATTTCTATAAAAAATCTTGTCGATAACAACAATTTCTATAGAAAACGTTGTCGATAACAACAAAATGTTGTCGACAACAACAATTTTTATAGAAAATGTTGTCGACAGCAACAATTTCTATAGAAAATGTTGTCGACAGCAACAATTTCTATAGAAAATGTTGTCGACAGCAACAATTTCTATAGAAAATGTTGTCGACAGCAACAATTTCTATAGAAAATGTTGTCGACAGCATCAATTTCTATAGAAAATGTTGTCGACAGGAACAATTTCTATAGAAAATGTTGTCGACAGCAACAATTTCTATAGAAAATGTTGTCGACAGCAACAATTTCTATAGAAAATGTTGTCGACAGCAACAATTTCTATAGAAAATGTTGTCGACAGCAACAATTTCTATAGAAAATGTTGTCGACAGCAACAATTTCTATAGAAAATGTTGTCGACAGCAACAATTTCTATAGAAAATGTTGTCGACAGCAACAATTTCTATAGAAAATGTTGTCGATAACAACAATTTCTATAGAAAATTGTGTCGATAACAACAATTTATATAGAATATTATGTCGATAACAACAATTTATATAGAATATTGTGTCAATAACAATTTCTATAGAAAATGCTGTCGACAACAACAATTTCTATAGAAAATAATGTCGATAGCAACAATTTCTATAGAAAATAGTGTCGATAACAACAATTTCTATAAAAATTGTGTCGATAACAACAATTTCTATAGAAAATGTTGTCGATAACAACAATTTCTATAGAAAATGTTGTCGATAACAACAATTTCTATAGAAAATGTTGTCGATAACAACAATTTCTATAGAAAATGTTGTCGATAACAACAATTTCTATAGAAAATGTTGTCGATAACAACAATTTCTATAGAAAATGTTGTCGATAACAACAATTTCTATAGAAAATGTTGTCGATAACAACAATTTCTATAGAAAATGTTGTCGATAACAACAATTTCTATAGAAAATGTTGTCGATAACAACAATTTCTATAGAAAATGTTGTCGATAACAACAATTTCTATAGAAAATGTTGTCGATAACAACAATTTCTATAGAAAATGTTGTCGATAACAACAATTTCTATAGAAAATGTTGTCGATAACAACAATTTCTATAGAAAATGTTGTCGATAACAACAATTTCTATAGAAAATGTTGTCGATAACAACAATTTCTATAGAAAATGTTGTCGATAACAACAATTTCTATAGAAAAACTATTGTCGACAATAGTTTCTATAGAAATTATTGTTATCGACAATAGTTTCTATAGAAATTATTGTTATCGACAATAGTTTCTATAGAAATTATTGTTGTCGACAATATTTTCCATAGAAATTATTGTTGTCGACAATATTTTCAATAGAAATTATTGTTATCGACAATATTTTCTATAGAAATTATTGTTATCGACAATTATTTCTATAGAAATTATTGTCATCGACAACATTTTCTATAGAAATTATTGTCATCGACAACATTTTCTATAGAAATTATTGTCATCGACAACATTTTCTATAGAAATTGTTGTTATCGACAACATTTTCTATAGAAATTGTTGTTATCGACAACATTTTCTATAGAAATTGTTGTTATCGACAACATTTTCTATAGAAATTGTTGTTATCGACAACATTTTCTATAGAAATTGTTGTTATCGACAACATTTTCTATAGAAATTGTTGTTATCGACAACATTTTCTATAGAAATTGTTGTTATCGACAATGTTTTCTATACAAATTGTTGTTATCGACAATGTTTTCTATACAAATTGTTGTTATCGACAACATTTTCTATAGAAATTGTTGTTATCGACAATGTTTTCTATAGAAATTGTTGTTATCGACAATATTTCCTATAGAATTTGTTGTTATCGACAATATTTCCTATAGAAACTATTGTTATCGACAATATTTTCTGTAGAAATTATTGTTGTCGACAATATTTTCTATAGAAATTGTTGTTATCGACAAAATTTCCTGTAGAAATTATTGTTATCGACAATATTTTTAATAGAAATGAGTGTTATCGACAATATTTTTTATAGAAATAGTTGTTATCGAAAACATTTCCTATAGAAATCGTTGTTTTCGGCAACATTTTGCACATATTTTCCATAGAATTTATTGTTATCGAACATATTTTCCATAGAAATTATTGTTATCGAACATATTTTCCATAGAAATTATTGTTGTCGACAATATTTTCAATAGAAATTATTGTTATCGACAATATTTTCTATAGAAATTATTGTTATCGACAATATTTTCTATAGAAATTAGTGTTATCGACAATATTTTCTATAGAAATTAGTGTTATCGACAATATTTTCTATAGAAATTGTTGTTATCGACAACATTTTCTATAGAATTTGTTGTTATCGACAACATTTTCTATAGAAATTGTTGTTATCGACAACATTTTCTATAGAAATTGTTGTTATCGACAACATTTTCTATAGAAATTGTTGTTATCGACAACATTTTCTATAGAAATTGTTATCGACAACATTTTCTATAGAAATTGTTGTTATCGACAACATTTTCTATAGAAATTGTTGTTATCGACAACATTTTCTATAGAAATTGTTGTTATCGACAATGTTTTCTATAGAAATTGTTGTTATCGACAATATTTCCTATAGAATTTGTTGTTATCGACAATATTTCCTATAGAAACTATTGTTATCGACAATATTTTCTGTAGAAATTATTGTTGTCGACAATATTTTCTATAGAAATTGTTGTTATCGACAACATTTCGTGTAGATATTATTGTTATCGACAATATTTTCTATAGAAACGATTATTATCGACAATATTTTTTATAGAAATGATTGTTATCGACAATATTTTTTATAGAAATAGTTTTTATCGACAATATTTTCTATGGAAATCGTTGTTATCGACAACATTTTCTATAGAAATCGTTGTTATAGACAAAATTTTCTATAGAAATCGTTGTCGGCAACATTTTCTATAAAAATCGTTATCGACAACATTTTCTATAGAAATCGTTGTTATCGAAATTTTCTATAGAAATCGTTGTTATCGACATTTCCTATAGAAATTGTTGTTATCGACCACATTTCCTATATAATGTTTTGTTATCGGCACCATTTCCTATAGAAGTTGTGGTTGTCGACACCATTTTTTATAGAAATTGTTGTTGTCGACAACATTGCCAATAGAATTCCATCAAAAATTTCGGTATCGATAAGTCTCCATAAAAATATCGTTTTCTTGCTATAAAGTCCTGTTATCGATAGATTTTCTAACGAGAATATTGCTGTTAATGAGATTTTCTACATTTTTTATTTAAAAAAATAGAATGAAAACCACTTGTTATTTTATTGTTATTTCATTTGAAATTATATTTAAATTTTATTTGTTGTTCTTGTTTTACTTTAAATTACGCGCAAATATATATATTTACTTTTCTTTTATTTTAATTAATATTATATATATTTTTGCTTTTAAATTTTCATGTTCACGTTTTTGTTGTTGTTGTTTTTATAAATTTAAAATGTAAAAATATTAAATTTTTTATATAAAAAAATTATTAAGAGGCAAACTAAATAGAAGAAGTCTTTTTCAAAACGAAATTTTGAATGCAAAACAAAATAGATACTGACTGTCTGTATGTGGAGGAATGGAAGGGGGGAGAGAGAATAAAAACGGGGAATTCTCGGCGGCATTTAAGAAATAGTCGAAGAAGAAGAAAGAGAACAAATCTAGCTAAATTAAGATATAGTTAAGTTTTGTTTTGTTTTAGTAATTTTTACGTAATAATTTGAATTTTTGTTGTTCTTGTTAATTGATAAACGTTGGCCGGGGTCTTCTGTGATTTTGGCCAACGAGTTAGCTTAAAAATCTTTTTTTTTTTTCATTTTTTTCTTCTTGAATATTTTTGATTCTTTTTCCTTCATTTCAAATGGACAATTTGCGTGTGTGTGTTTTCGTATGAATGCGAGTTGCAAACGAAGGGAGGAAAAAAGTGAAAATATTCCAAGGACTTGGCAAAGAAGAGAGCTAAAGGAAACAATAGAAAAACTCATGGCTAACATGGAATGAAGCTAATAATTAAGAAGTTCGTTTTTTGCTTTTTTGTTATTGTTGTTGTTCAATGATGTGGACATTTAAAAGCAAACACGATGGAAATTGCTGCTTTATTTCTTTCCAATAATTATAATACGAATAATAATAATAATTTCTTGTTTTTTGTTGTTGTTGTGTAATTGAACTGTTTTTTTCACTAATTAAATAACGCTTCTTAAAGAATAGAAATGGAAAAAAAGAATAGAATGGTACACAAAAAAAGGTAAAGAAATCAAGAAGAAAGGAAGAAAACCATAACATGGGCTTTTAGCGTGTTCTTGAATAAAGGTGTAATAGTTGTTGTGGTTGTTGTTTTAGGATTGAGGGGCAGCTATAAGGCGGTCACTGACAGCATTGTTTGCGTACATCATTAGTAACAGTCGGCTTAATATCAATGGGTACATCATTGCCAGGACGAATAACATCACCCTCTGGTGGATCACGTATTTGCTTTTGGGAAACAATACGGTAGATTTCTGCAAGGCAATAAAAATTACATTAATCTCAAAACGAAAACCCAAAAACCAACACTTCTACTCACCTGTGAGTATATTCTGGAATGCAGTTTCAACATTAGTAGAATCTAACGCTGAAGTTTCAATGAAACTTAGGCCATTACGTTCGGCAAACAGTTTAGCCTCATCCGTTGGTACTGACCGCAAATGTCTCAAATCGGACTTGTTACCCACCAACATAATGACAATATTCTGATCGGCATGATCGCGCAACTCCCGCAACCATCTCTCAACATTTTCATATGTCAAATGTTTTGCAATGTCGTAGACAAGCAAAGCACCAACAGCTCCACGATAATAGGCTGATGTAATAGCACGATAACGCTCCTGGCCAGCTGTGTCCCAGATCTGGGCTTTAATTGTTTTACCATCAACCTAAGAGCAGCAAAGAGTTTGAGAGAAGCACCGGAAAAAAAGGATAAAAAGAAAGGAGAAAAAAACGCTAAAATTAGTAATGGTTTTTGAAGGTGTTGCCATGTTAAGGAATAGTAAATATGTAATATGACATACACATGTACATATTTACTATTCGCACACATGGTGGGGGTATTTATTGTCCGTTGTCATACACACAAACTTTAAAGCTTTTATGAAAATTAAAAGGAAATAAAGTCGAGGAAATAAAGGTCGATGGTGTCATTTGCCACAATAGAACACACAGCTACAGGCAAATGTTTACACTGGGAAACAAGAGTAAAAACATGTGTCGATAACTAAATTTTCGGTAGTAATTGGTTCCGATACATACAGAAAATATTGTCGATAACAGATATTTCTCTTGAAAATATCAGCGATAACAGCAATTTCTATAGAAAATACTGTCGATAATAACAATTTATAAAGAAAAAGATGTCGATAAAAATTCTTGTCAATAACAACAATTTTTGTTAAAAATATTGTCGATAACAATAATTTCTATGGAAAATATTGTCGATAACAATAATTTTTATTAAAAATATTGTCGATAATAATAATTTCTATAGAAAATATTGTCGATAACAATGATTTCTATAAAAATATTGTCGATAATAATATTTGCTGCAGAAAATACTGTCGATAACAATAATTTCTATAGAAAATATTGTCGATAACAATAATTTCTATAGAAAATATTGTCGATAACAATAATTTCTATAGAAAATGTTGTCGATAACAATAATTTCCATAGAAAATATTGTCGATAACAATAATTTCTATAGCAAATATTGTCGATAACAATAATTTCTATAGAAAATATTGTCGATAACAATAATTTCTATAGAAAATATTGTCGATAACAATAATTTCTATAGAAAATATTGCCGAAAACAATAATTTCTATAGAAAATATTGCCGATAACAATAATTTCTATAGAAAATATTGTCGATAACAATAATTTCTATAGAAAATATTGTCGATAACAATAATTTCTATAGAAAATATTGTCGATAACAATAATTTCTATAGAAAATATTGTCGATAACAATAATTTCTATAGAAAATATTGTCGATAACAATAATTTCTATAGAAAATATTGTCGATAACAATAATTTCTATAGAAAATATTGTCGATAACAATAATTTCTATAGAAAATATTGTCGATAACAATAATTTCTATAGAAAATATTGTCGATAACAATAATTTCTATAGAAAATATTGTCGATAACAATAATTTCTATAGAAAATATTGTCGATAACAATAATTTCTATAGAAAATATTGTCGATAACAATAATTTCTATAGAAAATATTGTCGATAATAATAATTTCTATAGAAAATATTGTCGATAACAATAATTTCTAAAGAAAATATTGTCGATAACAATAGTTTCTATAACAAATATTGTCGATAACAATAATTTCTATAGAAAATATTGCCGATAACAATAATTTCTATAGAAAATATTGTCAATAACAATAATTTCTATAGAAAATATTGTCGATAACAATAAATCCTATAGAAAACATTGTCGATAACAATGATTTCTATAGAAAACATTGTCGATAACAATAATTTCTATAGAAAACATTGTCGATAACAATAATTTCTATAGAAAACATTGTCGATAACAATAATTTCTATAGAAAATTGTGTCGATAACAATAATTTGTATAGAAAATATTGTCGATAACAATAATATGTATAGAAAATATTATCGACAACAATAATTTCTATTGTAAATATTGTCGATAACAATAATTTCTATAGAAAATAATATCGATTACAACAAATCGAAATTTTTTATAGAAAATCTCTTCGATAACAACAATTTCCGTAGAACAACATGACCTAATTCTGCTGAAAATGTTGTTATCGACATCAAATTGGCACAAATCCTTAGCAGAATTTCGTGTTTTTTCTCGTGTTTCACTGTGTATATATCCCACTACACATACACATGTAGTACCTCACTCTGTTGCCTAGCATTGGGCAAAGCCTTTATGTTGTCATTTTTCTCCTTTTATTTTTTTGTTTGCTTTTCTAATATCCCTGACCTAAACAATTTTATTTAACCTTTGTTAGGAGTTTACGGGTATGAATGATTGGTGGGTAGGTGGTTGATGGGTGTTTTATTGAAACGGCCACGAAAAATAGCTACAATTTCGCTGTTACAATTCTTTTTTTTTTTTTTAAATTTACATTTCGATCCCTTTTCACAACGCGAATTTCGTTCGGTTGACAATGGCAAAAGAAAATCAATAAAATCTCCCTACAATGTACCTTCAGTAGATGAATGCAGCAACCCACTGACATTTTAACCGCACACCCCCACAAGTTATGTATGTTGTTTTCTTTCCCAAATAACCTTCTGCTTCTTGACAATGGAACACACCATTTGTTGTTGTTCCTTGCTCTTCTCATGCCTGGCTGTCTGCCTTTCAGCGCTCAATGCTGCTGCCATTGCCTTAATACTTTCTTTTGTTCACATGAACGTTTTATTTTGTTCAGTATTTTTTTCTTTCTGTTCACATCTTTTAGTTGTGAATAAATAGTATTCTTACTTACCTCTATGCTACGTGTGGCGAACTCCACGCCAATCGTTGATTTCGATTCCAAATTGAATTCATTGCGCGTGAAACGTGAAAGTAAATTACTTTTGCCGACACCAGAATCGCCAATTAGAACAACTGGAAATGAAAAAACAACAGATCAGATAAATACAAAATTTTTTCAAATAAATATACAAAATACAATACGAAATTGATAAATTAATGAATTGATGTTTCTAATATAAACAGAAAGATGAATATGGGCAAAATTTCAACAAGGTGATTATGGTTTATGTTTAGCCAGCCAGCAGTTTGGCAAGGTCAAAGAAAATGCGTATTGTTTTGGTAATATTTTTTTATTATTTGCCCCTTAAGAACCCCTTGGAAAAATTCTTTCCCAAATCAACGATTATCTAATTAATTGGGGACCCACGTGACCTTGACACCATTTAATGTGTATATTAGATGCAATTAAATACCTTCCCCACCAATGAAATCGAACATAAGAACATTAGAGTAAGTGGAGGAATTACAATAATTTTCCTCAAGGGAACTATTTTTAATTTACCATTGCCATTGGTAGGCCTTAAGATGCTTTCGAGGGTAGGACATTTTAATTGTACATTTATATGTAATGGGCCGAGGTGGTTTTTAATATAGCTTATATACACCGGCATAGTATGGGGAACTGAGTAATATTGAATTATAAATAGAAATTTCTATAAAAACTCATTTCGATAACAATTTATATAGAAAATTGTGTCGATAACAACAATTTTTATCAAAAAATTTGTCGATAACAATTATTTCTATAGAAAATGTTATCGATAACAACAATTTCTATAAAAAATCTTGTCGATAACAACAATTTCTATAGAAAACGTTGTCGATAACAACAAAATGTTGTCGACAACAACAATTTTTATAGAAAATGTTGTCGACAGCAACAATTTCTATAGAAAATGTTGTCGACAGCAACAATTTCTATAGAAAATGTTGTCGACAGCAACAATTTCTATAGAAAATGTTGTCGACAGCAACAATTTCTATAGAAAATGTTGTCGACAGCATCAATTTCTATAGAAAATGTTGTCGACAGGAACAATTTCTATAGAAAATGTTGTCGACAGCAACAATTTCTATAGAAAATGTTGTCGACAGCAACAATTTCTATAGAAAATGTTGTCGACAGCAACAATTTCTATAGAAAATGTTGTCGACAGCAACAATTTCTATAGAAAATGTTGTCGACAGCAACAATTTCTATAGAAAATGTTGTCGACAGCAACAATTTCTATAGAAAATGTTGTCGACAGCAACAATTTCTATAGAAAATGTTGTCGATAACAACAATTTCTATAGAAAATTGTGTCGATAACAACAATTTATATAGAATATTATGTCGATAACAACAATTTATATAGAATATTGTGTCAATAACAATTTCTATAGAAAATGCTGTCGACAACAACAATTTCTATAGAAAATAATGTCGATAGCAACAATTTCTATAGAAAATAGTGTCGATAACAACAATTTCTATAAAATTGTGTCGATAACAACAATTTCTATAGAAAATGTTGTCGATAACAACAATTTCTATAGAAAATGTTGTCGATAACAACAATTTCTATAGAAAATGTTGTCGATAACAACAATTTCTATAGAAAATGTTGTCGATAACAACAATTTCTATAGAAAATGTTGTCGATAACAACAATTTCTATAGAAAATGTTGTCGATAACAACAATTTCTATAGAAAATGTTGTCGATAACAACAATTTCTATAGAAAATGTTGTCGATAACAACAATTTCTATAGAAAATGTTGTCGATAACAACAATTTCTATAGAAAATGTTGTCGATAACAACAATTTCTATAGAAAATGTTGTCGATAACAACAATTTCTATAGAAAATGTTGTCGATAACAACAATTTCTATAGAAAATGTTGTCGATAACAACAATTTCTATAGAAAATGTTGTCGATAACAACAATTTCTATAGAAAATGTTGTCGATAACAACAATTTCTATAGAAAATGTTGTCGATAACAACAATTTCTATAGAAAATGTTGTCGATAACAACAATTTCTATAGAAAATGTTGTCGATAACAACAATTTCTAAAGAAAATTGTGTCGATAACAATAATTCTATAGAAAATTGTATCGATAACAACAGTTTATATAGAAAATTGTATCGATAACAACAATTTATATAGAACATTGTGTCGATAACAGAAGTTTCTATAAAAAAAGGTTTCGATAACAACATTTTTTATAAAAAATAGTGTCGATAACAACAATTTCTATAGAAAATTGTGTCGATAACAAAAATTTTAATCAAAAAAAAAATGTCGAAAACAACGATTTTAATAATAAAAAAAAATATCGAAAACATAAAACGATAAAAACGCCTCAAAAAAAAACGATAAAAACGCCTCATGTAGAAGATGTTGGCGAAATTAACTATTTCATTCTAAATTTTATCGATTACAACCATGTCAATTAAAAATATTGCCTTTAAGTACTCTAACTGTACAAAATGTTATCGATAATAACAATTTTTATAGAAAATAACAACTATAGCGGCTAAAATTTTACCGAAAATCTAACAGAATCCCACATTCAAAAAGCTGATATAAAATTTGGCATCTCCCATAAAATTCTGTCTCACATTCATTAGATTCATTTGAAGCTTTGTTGTTCACAATACAATTTCACTGTGGAATGAATTTAAAAATTTTTTAAAATCCCATAAATAATTGCAGTAACCTTTGATCACTTACATACACAATTTACCTTATCTCTATAGATCTTTTTTTTCAAAGTAATATGTTCATTATTTGTTTCAAATGAGACTTGATCACAAAAAAATCACAAAGTGTAAATCAGCTTTATACATTAACAAACAGCTAATGTAACAGGTGTCATAAAAATGCCTTCTTTAATGAAGGAGTATGTACTTCATACTCTTACTCTCTGAGAGTTAGGCTTGCACTCATTGTTTACATGAGAAAAACAGCTGTTAAAAGAAAGCACCAACCAAAATAAGTAAAGCTAGTACTAAATTTGCAAAAGGAGACTTGCATGGATATCATAATTTTTGGAAAATGTAGACTACAAAATTGCTAAATACAATAATAAAACTCATCAAATCCCCAAAGCCTACAAAAAAGTAATCACAAGATGCAGTTTCCTCCAAACACAAGGAAAGCTTTATACGATCTTCACTGTATAACTCCACAGAAAAAAAAAACTATCCAAGAGCACTGGGGTAAGTTATTTGTACAGGAAACGAAGGAAAAAAATAATACAAAGAATTTAATTATTGTCTATGTATGAATACAGATACATATACAACAACTTGTGATGATGTGGGACAGACGACCCGCGGATCATCACGAAATCATCACAAAAAAAGCAACAACAATACAATGTAGATAACTTTGTAAATTGAGGGGAGTAGTTCATTCTGTTTTTTTTTTCCTAGTGGATAACAAAAGAAAATTGTTGATAGTTGGCTTTTTTTTCTGTTATTGTTCGTTCGTTACACGATCACAACTGTCAACTATCATTGGTTTGTTGTTCTCATCCATTATTTGTTGGCTGCAAGCATGAAGCGGGGGGGATGATGGATACTACGACGACGAATGGTTAATTAAATAGAAGATGCCACCCAAAAAGGGAATTGTTTGTGTTTATGTTTGCCGGCCGTCGCTTGTTATGTGTGCCTAATTATATAGACATGAGAAAGAGTATTTAATGAGCCATTTCTCCCATAATATATATGGGTAACCAAAGAGGGGGAGAGTTTTTTTTAATGACTGACCTGCATTGTTTTGTTGGAACAAAATTTTATAAATTAAAAAAATCTGTTTAAAATGTCGGTTTAAGGTAAAGATTTTTGTTTAGGAAAGAAGCACAGTTTAAAGTACTGCACATAAGGTCTAACATAACCTAAAAGAAAGTCCGCTAAAGTGGATCCCATACAAAAAATTCGCCTGGTTTCACATTCAGCATCAGTCAATGCTACGATATTCCGCACAGAATGTTACATACTCTCTAGAAACATTTGTATAACAATCTTTCCTCGGTTCCGATTAAGATATAGCTTTCATATACAATTCCCCAGTGATTTGATATAAAAAGTCTGATATCTAAATAAGACTCCCAAAAGGCATTCCACGTCCCATGTAAAAAAAACATTAGACGCTAATGAATTAATAACGCAATATGAAGATAATGTGCTCACAACTTTTTTTTATCAAAGTTATCATTAATTTGAAGCCTTCTTGACATATTTCAAACAAATGAAATGCTAGAAAAAAATATAAACAATGAATCCTATTCTTCATTATTCTCATGAAGCAAATTATGGGCCGGAATGATGTGTTACACATACCACAGACTCGCATTTACACCAGTGGCTTGCTAACCTACATTGTATGTAGAATTTGAATCTTCCACACTATTAATCATTATCCATTTTAAATATAAAAAAATAAATATATTCCATGGAATAAATAGCAACACCCCTAAACCGATATATGAGTCATGACGAAAAAGTTGGTATATTCTTAACATTGAATTGAAAAAAAGCTAACAAAAATAAACTTCAAAACGAGTGTGAAATATATTCAGTTAAGCGTTATCGTTACTATGTCGCTTAATTATTAATACCAAAGCATCTGCATATCAGTTGTAGAAGTATAGAACTGTGAAGATGACTGGCAAGGCTAAATAACGATGACGATAACACACACAATTTTTTGTTTGTTTGCGGTTTATCAAACATCCAACCAACCAGTCAACCAATTATTCCAATTTGGAAATGTTGAACAAAAATGACGAAAAGCAAATATTATGGTATCATTCTTCAAATATTCTCAAATTTCGTAGAGAAATTTGCAATTATATTCGAGAATTAACAATAAAAGTAAATTATTGTATTTAAGATCAGTGAACTCATAGAATACCATTTGCATTAATATTAATGAGCGTTTGCGATACGAAACTTCTGGAGCAAAAAAAAAACACAAAATGTTGACTGCTTCAGTCGAATTTAATGGATAATTTAAAACAAAACACATATTTCAAAATTTAATTTCAAATTGCGATTTCTATTACAAAAAA